TAGCCTTTAGCTACTGTTAGCTCCTGGCTAGCCTTTAGCTACTGTTAGCTCTTGGCTAGCCTTTAGCTACTGTTAACTGCTGGTTAGCCTTTAGCTACTGTTAACTCCTGGTTAGCCTTTAGCTACTGTTAACTCCTGGTTAGCCTTTAGTTACTCTTAGCTCCTGGTTAGCCTTTAGCTACTGTTAACTCCTGGTTAGCCTTTAGCTACTGTTAGCTCTTGGCTAGCCTGTTCTAAGTGAGTCATGTTCAGATGTTTCTCACCTCATCAATCTTTGGATAAGGAATGTAGTCGTCCTGAAACAGAAAAAAAGCTGATGAAAAAACTGAAGAAAAACAAAGAGACACTAATGAATCAGAGACCGAACAAAGAAACAATGAATCAGGTCAAAGGTCATTCAGTCAGAGGTCAAAGGTCAACAACACACAAAATACAAATAAATGAGTATGATCTGATGCTCCTCAGATGTTTTGAAGATTAAACTTGCAGAATAAAGTTTTCTGTTTCAATGTTTCATGATTTCCTGCTGAACACTGAGCGGTGATGGAGAAGAACACCAGGCTGTGTTCAAATTCATCAAGTGTCTGTGAGTTTGGACGGTCTAGTCTTCTGCTTTAGTCCTACCCTTACCCCGGCAACCCTGACGATACTAAACAGAAGCAAAAATAAATGGAAAATATCAAAATATCAACACAATCATGGATAAAGGAGACACACTGTTGGCTGCATCAGAGTAGTCATGAATCTGGACCTCCATCATGAAGCTGTGATGTAAGAAAGATTTGACCTTTAGAGGACCCACTCCCTGAATTTGGACAAAGCCTTTGTGACAGACATCGATGATGATGATGATGATGATGATGATGATGATGATGATGATCTAGTTAACCCCGTGAGATCCCAGATCTGTTTCAGGTCCTGGTGGGCCTGGTTTTAGGTTTGTGGGCAGGAGAACATGTAAACTCCACACAGAAAGACCCCAGGTCCAAACTGAGGATTGAAACCTGGACCTTGTTGCTGTAATGATAAATGATAAATGATAAATGATAAATGGGAAATGGGAAATGGGAAATGGGAAATGGGAAATGATAAATGGTAAATGGTAAATGATAAATGATAAATGGTAAATGGTAAATGATAAATGATAAATGGTAAATGGT